CACCGACAGTTTGCACCGTGCACCTGGAAAAGCTGCAGACACTCAACACCAGCCAGTGAAAGCAACCAGAAGGGAGGCTGTACCCTGCAAAGCCACAGGGGCAGAGCTGCCCAACACCATGGGAACCCACCTTGCATCAATATGACCTGGATATGAGACAAGGAGTCAAAGGAGATCATTTTGGAGCTTTAAGATTTTACTACCGCACCGGATTTCGGACTTGCGTGGGGCCTGTAGCCCCTCTGTTTTGGCCAATTTCTCCCATTTGGAACAGGTGTATTTACCAAATGCCTGTATTCCCATTTTAGCTAGGAAGTAACTAACTTGCTTTTGATGTTATAGGCTCATAGGCAGAAGGGACATGCTTTGTCTCAGATGAGACTTTGGACTGTGGACTTGTGAGTTAATGATGAAATGAGTTAAGATTTTGGGGGACTGTTGGGAAGGCATGATTAATTTTGAAATGTGAGGACATGAAATTTGGGAGGGACCCGGGATGGAATGACATGGTTTGGGCTGTGTCCCCACCTAAATCTCATCTTGAATTATAGTTCCCATAATCCCCATGTGTTATGGGAGGGACCCAGTGGGAGGTAATTGAATCATGGGGGTGGGTTTTCCTGTGCTGTTCTCCTGACAGTGAATAGGTCTCCCAAGAACTGATGATTTTATAAAGGGCAGTTCCCCTGCACACACCCCCTTGCCTGCTGCCATGTAAGACATGCCTTTGCTCCCCCTTTGCCTTCTGCCAAGATTGTGAGGCCTCCCCAGCCAGGTAGAACTGAGAGTCCATTAAACCTCTTTTTTTAAAATTATAAATTACCCAGTCTTGGGTATCTCTTCATAGCAGTATGAAAATGGACTAATACAGTCCCCCTCTCCTTTTTCCTCTAGCCACCTACCCCAAATCCCAAGGCAATCTGTTCCTCTCCAAGCAAGATTTTTATGTTACTTTCTTTCATTCTTCATACAAGCTTGTGTTTCAGATTTCATTCAAAATAAGATACAACTAATGAAAAGCAAAAAGCGTTACTCTTAAGAGAATTCAGTAAGCCCTAAAGCCTTAAGTGGAATGGAAACAATTGCAGAATAATGTGTGTGGGGATTTAGGATCATCTCTCTGAAGTCACATTACTTAGTCCACTTTGCTGTCTCCACGCATGGAAGGTGACACCTGGCACTATGAGGGGCTGTAGTTTGGGGTGGGCAGAGTAGGGTGTGGAAGGAAAGAAGCACTCACTCACAGGAGGTGCTGTCATGAAAATGTAGCAGTTTTGTATGGCTGCTTATTTTTAGAATGTACCCCTAAAGCTTATAACTACTTGAATGCCCTTGTCTCTCATAAAGGAGAGCCACTTCTAAGGTGGAACAACACCAGGATACCTGAGACACCAGCTTTACCTGAAGTTTTTTACATGGTCTTCCACTGTGGTTAATTCCAGAGCGTTGTCTAAAGCACTCACATAGGAAAGAGCCTGTGTGGAGGAGCCCCAGTTCACATCTGTGGATAAAGGAGGAAATTGGCATAAGAAGCACTGACCTTTCCTCTGTGTACCATGAATAATTCTTACAAGTCATTCCCTTCTATGATTTTCCCTGGCTATGCCAGCAACGATGAGTGCCCACATTAGAGAAAATATAGTGCGGGATTTCCTAAAAAGCACTTTGTATCCTTCTATGAATACTATGTGAATCTTCAGAAGCAAAGGCTTCATTCCAGCAAAGGATCAGACTGTACAACTGCAGTCCTAGAAATCTTGCTTAGTGGGAGAGGCTGTGCGATAACCACGTTGCAGGCAGATAGACTTGGGAAACTGGTCAATCCCTGAATAAAAATCAAAGCGTCTTCACACTTTTTTTTTTTTTTTTGAGATGGAGTTTCGCTCTGTCACCAGGCTGGAGTGCAGTGGTGCGATTTTGGCTCACAGTAACCTCCGCCCCCCAGGTTTGAGAGATTTTCCTGCCTCAGCCTCCTGAGTAGCTGGGACCACAGGCACCTGCCACCATGCCTGGATAATTTTTGTATTTTTAGTAGAGACAGGGTTTCACCATATTAGTCAGACTGGTCTCAAACTCCTGACTTTGTGATCCACCCATCTCCGCCTCTCAAAGTGTTGGGATTATAGACGTGAGCCACCGCGCCTGGCCCAAATTCTTAAATTGAAAAGAGAAGCAGCATTTCTGTATACACAGAAAGTGTGCAGTAATCTTTATATTTTGAACAGTAAAACTGAATAGCATGGGAATTCTTACTTCTAGAATTCTATGAAGAAGGTCAAGGTTCTTTAGCAAACATTTTAGTTTGATCTGTGAGAAGCTAATCCTTAATCTTCATCATAAGGGAGATCAGCTCTACCATCCCTCCCCCCAACCCCCCTCCTTTTTTTTTTTTGAGACGGAGTCTTGCTCTCGCCCAGGCTGGAGTGCAGTGGCACCATCTTGGCTCACTCCAAGCTCTGCCTCCTGGGTTCACGCCATTCTCCTGCCTCA